GAATTTCGTCGCAAGGATTTTCGCGTCATGATATCTAAATGCTACGTGCAGCCCAATCAGCTCGGAGCCATCAGAGACCACTTCCTCCCCATTAACGACTTTGTTCGAGTGCTGTATGGAGGTGCTATCGGTCCATAAGCCTCCGGTTTTTCACACGCAGAAACTTAACACGCGTCCTGCACCATTACGTAACAGGCGATACATCACTTCTCACGCCTTGATTCTTCGAAATCACTTCAAGTAGTGATTGAATGCAACAAAACAACACAGGACGTATTTTTCACTAACATGTAGGTAATTTGCAGAATCCCGGTTTCGAAAACGTATTTGTTTTTTAATGTAAATGAAATAAACCTTTTGAACTAGAGCCATTACTCAGAGCAGAGAAAACGTCTTCACTTACATGCTAACATTTTACCATCAATCATCCCAGCTGACGTTTCGAAAGAGAACATGTCATTTCTTTCAACTTGTTTCAAAGATTCATACGTCCAATTACATTGCACACACCCCTACACACGATACAACATCGGCTTATCACATTAGAACATTTGAAGCTGGCAATTGAAAACGTAAGCATCGCTTTCCTCGGAAATGTTCGTATCTACCTAAACGTCCAATCTTTGGTACTACTAAGAATTGAAAAAACACACACACACATCTTTACTGCCGCGAAAATTTCAAATCTCATGTAAAACAAAGGGCGCTGAGAAAAATCACGAAATACTTTTCCCACAATAGACGATCCCGTGTTCGAACCTCATCAAGCAGACGATGTACCACATACAAAACCAAGTCTCGGTTACACCCAACGAGAAGTGATCAGTTTCCAGGAAGGAATCAATTTTGGCCCCGTAACAAAACAAACAGACAAACAAACTATGACAAAACGTCATCAATTTTTAGATAAAACCTTTCCTACAAAATGATGATTAAACTTCACATGAAACTCTTAAGCAACGACGTAATATTACGACTTCACACATTCTCTGCGCTATAAATCGTATGTGAACTGTACAGTTCTTGACAGTTCATTATTTACTACGTATCAACACGCAAATCAACGCAGATGGAAGGCGTCAGTAGGAACACGGGTCATCTCTAATGTGGCAATTGTACCTACGTCTCTCTCTTCCACAAGGGGACCAATAAACTTTATGTACAGTTTCTTTTACGAAACTCCTTGATCCTTTCACAATATATTATACTAGCCTAATGGCAAAAAATCTTAAATACATTCTTCCCGTAGTTCAATGTCATGATTATAATAAATACTGACGGGACGGAAGCATAATCACGACGGACGCCCTATGCACCAAGGAAGTAGCCATGGCCAAGGCAGCTTTCGTCAAGAAGAGGATACTTCTCACTAGCAAGTTGGGCTTGGAGATGAAGGAGAAACTAGTGAAGTGTTACGTATGGAGTGTCGCGCTGTATGGAGCAGAGACTTGGACACTCAGGAAGAAGGAACAGAAATACCTGGAGAGTTTCGAAATGTGGTGTTGGAGAAGAATAGAGAAGATCAGGTGGACGGATCGAGTGACCAACGAAGAAGTATTGAGGAGAGTCAACGAGCAAAGAAGCATTCTGCAGGCGATTACACGAAGGAAAGCTAACTGGCTGGGACATATTATGAGAAGGAATGGATTAATGAGTGATATCATCGAAGGCCAGGTTGAAGGAAAGCGAGGACTGGGAAGAAGACTGATACAGCTAACCGACGATCTTAAACAAGGAAAGAAGATGACGTTCCAGGAATTAAGACGAGAAGCCGAGAATAGGGAAAACTGGAGAGCTCTTTTTGGGCAGAGCAATGGACCTGTCGTCAGACAGAACACTGAATAATGAATAATACTAATAACTGACGGGACGCAGCAAAAACTAGGAAAATAATTTCGTGTCTTCAGACCAGATCTTTACTAAATGTTGTGTGTATTTGTAATTTGCGCATCATTCGACCCCCAATGACCCTTGACCTCCGGTCAGCCAGCACTCTACATTTCTGTGCATAATTTACATACGAAGTTTGAAGCCGGTTCGCAGAGCAGGGATGCTGCATGGCCGGTATCCGGCTCGTCAATCTCAACTGATAGCATGATCTCCGTAACCCCCTGTGGCCAGACAGCGTGTTTACATTCCCAAGAGCTGTTTGAATGGGAGATTGCCTCAGCTTATTAAAACAAATCCTCTTGCTGAAGGGATCTGTATTTATACAGATCTTGTGATGCCCTTCAATCGTGATTCTATGTTCGTGACCAATCGCCAAGATTCCAGAGTCATTAGAAACTTTCAATTTAAATTGGAATACCCTGATGCTCCCAACCCCAGTTAACTTAAAATTCATAATTCTACAATCTGTAAAAATAAACGTCTGATAAATTCCAAACTCACATAATTACCATAAAAAAGACCTTTTAAATCAAAATTAGTAAGCAAATATTTGACCACCTTGTCTATGAATGAACACAATTGTTCGTAAACCGAAGGTTCGCTTGCGTATAAACAACATTTTACGTAATTTCATACCGTCCAAATTATTATTATTATTATTTATTTTGATTGCAAATGGTCCTACCATAAGACACAAAACAATAAGACACAACAAACCAACACACCACACTCAAAATAAAACAACTCATAAGATTACAGATTATAAATGTATTTACGTGAAAGTAAAACATATTTTGCACATACGACAAAAGCCATATTTTTCTCCGAAACTTAGGCAACCATCAAGAAGTCATCCTACAAAATCACGATCCACATTTTGACCGCTCTATAAAACTCAAATTGTCATTGCATTTCAAATCACGAATTATACTTAATGGGACTTTAAGAGAAAAACCAACATTCATAAAAGTTACGAAAAATAACACGCAAAATGAACGAGACCCATTAGATACCCAATATGACAAACTCGAATCCAGTGATTTGTTATTGGGCTATGTGCCGTGTTATCTAGCTAAATGTCCATTAGATCATAAGACACGACTAGTAGCTCGAGCAGAATTAAATTCAACTCAGTCGTAGTTAAAACTTCATAAAATATACGTCGTAGTCTTTAAATCAGCCTTTACTATTAATGTGATTGTGTACCGTAAGTAATGGTAAAACATGAAAATCGTCGACAACTAAAGCAGATAAATTCATTAACGCAGAAATTTTTAAAAATAATAATTCAGCAAAGTAAAGCTTAATAAACGTTTATGAAGACGACGGCGGATAGTATTGTGCACCATGCACTTTGTTCGATCATCAAACATGGTGGCTAATCGCATAAAGGCATCCATATTGCTACCAAGTATTAAAAAAAATATTAAATCTACAACAGTAGCTCAAGCACATATACGAACTAACGAAAAAAAATTCCAAACTGAAATGCAATCTGTTTGAAAGTAAGCCTAAAAACAGACAAACAGCTTGAAGGCTCTGACCTAAACAGCAACTAACCACAGTAGTAACCAATATGCTATAATGAAAGGGCACACCAGATGCCTGACGTACCTTAGGAATCCGGAAGTCCGTACTGAACGACAGGAAAACGACGAATGCTTTCACAAATGTCACCTCCTCCAAACAAAACCCTGATCTGGCAACTTGCCAAGTTTCGAGGTGCATTATGGGAAAGGCAAAGATAATCATTAAGCAACGTGCGCCAAGTCACAGATACTTTTTGTCAGAGAACTACCAACGCTAATGGATCACAGATAAAGTTAAGATTTCACGTAAGTAGCGTGTTAGCAGTCAAGGTCTGGATAACATCTTACTTTCGAAAGTCACGATGTCGCAAGTCTAAGCTACATCGTGTCTTAAGTGAGCCATCGAGAACAACTACATACGCGGCTTAAGGTAGGCCTCGGTGGCTAACTGCACACATGACACATGACGCAAACACAGACATCCAACAAGGAATGTTACGAAATGTTACACGCGGCCTTGGACTTTGCAGGTGGCAGGGGAGTCTTGTAATGACTGTAATAAAATTTCGGGACAAAGTGCCTGCAGAATAATCCTTGCTCAGATGTTAACAATGTAACACCTAACCAAAAAAACTGGCCACTTTTAATAAAACGTAAGGCCTCGTTAACTTAGATGGATGTCTTCTCGACTGTAGCGCCTTATAATCTGGTAAAAGTTTGCCGACGTATCATAAATCCCTGCTGCCTCCATCATCAGAGCGATGAGATGATGGAGGCAGCCATACGCGTTTCGACCTCAGGAGGTTATCATCAGTGGCATCAGGGAAATTAATACATTTAGTTGTTGGTTTCTTTACTCTATATTCTAATACACTGCACGGTATTCAAAGTTTTAAGTTTTAAGATTCAAATCCTACTTAGTTCATTACATTCTTCACAACAGCCTGCAAATGGACTCTGTTCAAACGTAGATTATGAAAGTAGCCTACATCCTTACAAATTCATCTTAATGCGATCCTCCCATTTGCAAATATGTCTCGCTAATAACCTCGTCCTTTTGGAGTTTCCGACTAAAAATTTATACGCATTTCATGTTTAACTCGCTTACTTGAACAATCTTTTTAACTCACCTTGTGGTTTCACAAACCTATCACCACTGACATGATTTAATAATTAAACAGCGATTATTTCCTTAAACAGCGTTAACCAGTTCATCTTTGTAATGGTGAAGTGTTGTTTTTTCTTTGCGGTACGGACTGAATACCTAAGTATCATTTGCCTCGTAATTCTCAGGCTTGACTCGACATCCTGTTTTTAATGACATAATTCGGTTCCATTTAACGTTATAAATGAGAATTTCGTGATTATATCATCTCATTTTGGCAAATTTTTAATTCTGCCCTCCTATCGACGACGTCACAGATAATATTACAACACATCAGGTCACATTGATAAACGCGTATAATATATATGCACATTAGCATTTATTACTGTACATCTAACATATTTACGATGCACATTTGACCTGAATTTGTCACCAGGAGAACAAATTACAGCAAAAGAAAAAGTGCATGTGGGGGGGGGGGTTTACAAGGAAGGTCGTGACAGGAGTGATACATATATGGCACAATCCTCCTTTTATTAGTACCAACGCAGACTGATAAATGGTTACGCCCTTTTTTCGACACACAAGCATTGTCCCACGGGAATTTTATGAAAAGAAGTTGTCATATAAGCTGAAAGACCCGGGGCTAGGTCGTGCGCTGTGCATGCGTGTGACGTCTCCCGCCTTTTACGCTCTCCGCAGATTCATCAAAGGTCATCACAGTCATCGGTAAACAGTAACTTACTTCTGTGGGACAAACACTTGACCACACAGTGAGGATGGCTTCACAGGCTGCTCGCAGTGGCCTGTTAACAAAATTTTTCAAACTGATGTAATTTTTTTGACGTAAATACGTCTATATTTTAGGGTCAGTGTCATTCACCAAAAAGTGTGACGAAAAAGTGAAAGGAAAATGTGTAAGATGGTTACCTAGGAAACGTCATCTGCTTACTCGGCATTGTTGTTACCTATAAAACATTACATTACATTACATTACTTTACATTACATTCAGCTACCACAGATCCATCTTAAGCGTAACTAATTCAAGTTAAATAAGCAATGTCTTAATCAAACTTATCTCAATTGTAAAACATTTATAAAGGAAATATTTAGAATAAAGCCAATATATAAACTTCCTTTCCGTATAGATGTATTTACGTCTAATTCTCCGGAACCCTGGTTCCACTGTCAACATTTTGGTAAGAACCTGAGTACCACACACAAATCTGAAGATGGCTGTCTTCTGGGATGTTGTACCTTGCAATCATTGGAGCTTACTGCCTGCGTCTTCATGTGATGGCAGAGAGCGCCTCTCAAATGTCAGCAAGATCTACTTTGAGTGTGAAAGATGTGTATCATATATATCATTTGGATTACTTCATATGAAATTTAATAACATAAAAACAAAGATAAAATATAAAACAGTGCTCATATCACAAACATGTCATCAAAGTACTGTACACACATATAATTTATTTCAATATACTGACAGTGAATGAACCTCAAAATAAAAATAGACTTCCACTTACACATTTATCTGGATGGATTACATATGTTTTTGCTCAAACACCCTGTATACATGACACAGCACGTTGTAAAAGAATACAAGTGTTAGGTCTGCACATTTTGGTAGAAAATGTTAAAACTGAAATTAATTTTGGTTCTCTGAAGACGTGTAACACGGCTATGGTGGCAGTAATTTAAAGTACAATTTGAAATAAAATATTTAGCATATGGAGAAATCCTAAAAGTCTCACTTAACCAGCGTTCTAATTACCTTCGACGTAGTATGTATTATTCTCACCACCATAAAAACCTGCCAAATTTTTACAAAAAACACCAAATGACTAAAGCTTTACACGAATTCCAATTACCATCGTCCACACAAACAAGCCGAGACGTAATATCAAAATGGCCGACTGAAGCCCCAACTTACGTAAAGACTGGTTACATACGCACTGTACCGGAGTAGGAGATATACAATCGGGGAAAAAAAACTCGACTTGTACGAAGGAAACGCAGAGCATGCTGGGAAAGACAAAGACGAAAAACTCATCAAACGCGTGTCGGCAGAGATAACTAAGGGGGTCGAACAAATTATACGCCCAGTAACAAAACACTAAAAGCGAAAATACTACCAGCAGCGAAAACTCAATAATTTAATCGACTGAAACCAAATCGCGGGACGGAGGGTCAGCCACGGCCTGTAGAGAATAAAACAAAGCTGAGAAATCATAAAATAAATGGTAGCGTCCTCTATGCGGGATCATAGGGACCCACCACAAGCGCCATCCCGCAAAGAGGGCGCAAGAGGTTATTATCTGCTTTAAGAGATTTGTTTTAATTTCCTAAGACCACTCGGCCGCTGGGGTTGAGCCCACCTTTCGGAATTATTCGATATCAATTACCGCGCTTTCGTTGCTGGTACTACTTTCGAATTTTGAGTGGTCCTTTTATTACACCTAATCTTATTAAGCTCTTGCTATATCCTGTAGACAAGATCTGTTGCCA